ACATGTGGCTTGAACGATATACTTAATTACCCAAATGAATGTATTATACCTCTAGTCTGTAATGGTAATGCCATGGGCTCCAAAGGGATCTTTGTGCGATGACGAGCGTATCTCCCATATTTACAAAAGGCTAACGCGAGTGTGTGAACATATTTTCAACAGTAATAACCTGCAGGGTTAGCTAGATATTTTTTAACGTGCAAGTTTAAGAATTGAGTAGTCATCAGCGTTAAAAACTAACAGTTTCAGTCCACTAGTCCTTATAATGATAACATATAGCAAAACCTTTAAAAATGGCAAATTTCTACTAGTCCTTAGGATACCTTTACTATTGGGCAGTTTGGCAAGGACTATACTAGTGCTAATTTCTGACCCTGAGTCATGGGTTTTACCCTACCGGATACAAGGTGAAATCTGGAAACAGGATATATAATCAGGTTTCAACAAGGTTAGAACTTAAATCTGAGTCAGAATCAAACAGGTTTCTGGCAGAATTAATGACTACGGACGACAAGTATGACATATGTAATACTGCATCCCAGACATTTCATTCTGACTGACTATTTATGCAGGAATTCCCTTATTAAACTGTCATACTTGACGCCCATTTCCGTAGCTTATTCTCAGGGAAAATGTCCAATCGTGTTCAGAGAAGTAGCGGATATGTCCAGAGTCGTTACAAGGAAATAAAGTACCGACTATACCGGAGCATATCTGTAACATTGTTTGAGTAAAAGACGCAATTTATCAATCAGACAAAAGCCTTACAAAGTTCATTCCAAAAGATACCCTTCCGTGAAGTGATCTTAAACAATGCAACGGGCGTAAAGCAGCTCTCACACTTTGCCGAGGTGGTTGCCGAGCTCCCTCGACTAGGATATACGGGTTTCATACGAGTACGTTACGAGTGTGTTACGGGCCCCAACGGAGTCCAATAGGAGCCTATTAAGAGTTGCATACGAGCACAACGATCTCGATACGAGCTGTACGAGTTTGGTACGACTTTGGTACGAGGTGGCTACGAGCTGCTAAATAATTCGGCGGGAATTTGTCACATGATTTAACATGGAGGCTCGTATAGCGCGTATTAGACTCGGTCAACTCGGCACGAGGTCGCCACGAGGGTACTACGAGTAGGACGAGTGTGTTACGAGTTTGTTACGAGTTTGTTGTCGAGAGTTGGCTGGCGGCCCGAGTGTTTTGAGCAGTTCCAAAACTCTCGTAGATCAGTACGAGGTATCACGAGTTACCCCGACTTTAGTATGACCTCGCTACGAGCTCCATACGAGTACCCCCGAGTCAGCTCGGGCCCATACGCGGGACACAACTCGGCAAAGTGTTAGAGCCCTTTAACTGCACGACGAACCCCTCATAAGCCAGGTCTATAAAGTACAGGTGTGGGGAAATGAGGGCCTATTCTGACCCTAAGCCACCCACAAGCCCACTCAACCCTTACACGTGCGCACACCCATCCACTAACTAACAAACGCATCACACAATAAGATGGGGCACGGTGGTGAATGAAATCAAATTGAATAAAACCTCGAACAAGCTGGTGAGAGTAGTTTGGAAAGATCATATAGTCAATCACTTGGTTCCTGTTCACAGCATTGATCTAGCTGTTGCTTTGATTGATTGTTCACTCGACTATGGAAATATTATCGTTGTAAACCGAACCTCTGATTTCAATTGTCTCACTATTGATAAGCTATAGAACGGATGAAATGACGTACACCTTTGGGACATGCTGAACACGCTTCTTTGAAATTGAGACAGTAAGTCTTCACCTCCGTGAATATCGTTTACTGCTGTATGAGAATGTTTCCGAAATACGTCTGAAGGGCAATGAAGTGTTCAAACTGCGATGCTTCAACAGAGATACAGAAATTTTGAATTCGGAGACATCACAGCTGACACCTTCACCGTCCGACACATGGACGACGATAGTGTACTGACATCTAATATACACATTTCAGTCCTTCTTTTGCCATTGGGGGGCACGGGTGGCCCAGTAGTCTATAGCGCCGTGATTCGCTGTGCAGAGTTGCGCCCCTTTGGGCACGCCAGAAATCTATGATTGTGGGTTCGAATCCCGGTTCGCCCCGATTATGTTTCTAGGTTTGTCAGCACCATACCCGTGCTAGTGTGTTTCACCGAAGTGTCAAACGTCTGAGACCTGCATCACTTCGGGCTTTCCTCCCACATTAAGCTGACACGCTGCGATATAACTGGAATACTGTTAAAGGCGTTAAACCCAACTCACTCACTCTTTTGGCATTGTAGTTATAGGGATGGTGATGCATGTATATTTGTAATTCAGTGATCATGTTGAGATACATGTACTACAATCATGTTCTGTTATTTGTTTGACATTCAACACATTATATTGTTTGTATTTAGGTATTTTATTTATCTGGCCTCTCGTAAATCAACTGCCAGGTTGACATACAACGCTATATGACTAATATTTATGAACTTCGTAGCTTTTATTTCCCTACCTGCTTACACCAGCATGCAATGCATGTAAATAAAGCCACTGCAACAAGATAATATTAACACATATGGTACTGGTCATAATGCTGTAGGGGCGGTCGGGTAGCCTAGTGGTTAAAGCATTCGCTCGTCACGCCGAAGACCCGGGTTCGATTCCCGACATGGGCACAATGTGTGAAGCCCATTTCTGGTGTCCCCCGCCGTGATATTGCTGGAATATTGCTAAAAGCGGCGTAAAACCATACTCACTCACTCACTCATAATGCTGTTACCCAGAGTATTGACACATCACTCATGGTTATCACTAATTTCAGTAATAGAGAGTGATATTGCATCTGGTAATGGTCGAGTCTAGGCCAGACGAACTAGTGGTTGACATCATGAGCAACGAATAACGAGATACGATGACACACTCAGTGAACTCCTCATTTACCCGGCTCACAACACGGTCTGTGGGGTCATATTCTACCCCGGAATCTTTTCGGAATAAGACAACAAGAAAAATGAGAACCAGTCGTGTCAAAATCTAACTTATAGTGCCCATGTATATTCACCTCCATCGGTCATGTATGAAAACCCCAATCTAATGCATAGATATACTGGATTCATCGCTAGTCATGTGTGTTGCTTTTGCTTGCTCTTTTTACGAAGATTTAAAAATGCATCATGTGACTCTTGCTCAAAAGTTGTTTGATCAAGGTTTCAATATTCAAGCATCAGGATATCTTTCAAAACGTTTTATGGTAAATACGCATCAGTACCAAAAATATTTTGCCTGATATGTTTCCGTATTTATTTTCGGGTACACAATTGACTGCCTTTGCATGTGTTTGGGACAAGTGCAAAGGGTGTAAAGAAGGAGCATTTTAATAAAAACGTCGAAACCCTTTCGATTCCTTCAATATCATAAGCCTGTGTTTATGAATCATTGAGATATTGGGGTCCCCGAGCGCTATTTAATAAATGTACCTGAAGAGACTGACATGTTTTATCAAGTTCTAAAAGCCGCATAAATATTCGATTTTTTAATCATTAATTGCTGAGAAATATGACAGGGATTTAGTAAAGCTGCTTATGTTTTAAATATGCTTTCATTAGCTACGTGTTTCAAGTAGGACGTCGTTGTCATCATCTATTATAACAGTCAGATGCTTGCATAGCAACTATAGAAAGTAAATCGGGATTGCGATGTGCATATTATGTGGCGCTGATGCCGTATTAGTGCATTCACTGAACATTGTCTGTGGTGAGATGACGGCTTAGTGCCTACAATCTAAATATACAGGCAAATAAAGAGAATGGGCATGTCTTGACCGCTTCAGAGTGTCTCCTGCCCATTGACAACGATTGTTGTGACGGTTTTGAAGTAAATATATCACGTCTTTGAATAACATTTAGAAGTGATGCACACAAGGAAAAGAATTAATATGTCAACTTCTATGTAATCAGGAAAACAACGTTTCTGAGTAAATGTTTACTCATCAGGTGAATGATTCACACTCGTATATTTGTTCGATGAGTCAACACAAAAAGAAAGAAAAATATTTCATGAATCATTGCATCTTACAGTGCACCGGATCTCCGCAAGACGAGACGAGTTGACACGTTCTGTTCCGTCATGCCGACAGTGAGGTCAAGGTCATCATACAACTGCCCCTGGGGCATGTCCTACTAACGGTTAATGAACTCGGTCAATTCGGATAAGTAAACCTGAAAAACTTGTGTCGTTTTGGTATATGTATACAGTAGAATCTGTCTAAGCAGTGTGTATGGCCGTGAGGTTAGTCCGGTTTAATCAGACAGTGGTCTTTGACATCCATGGCAAGAAATAGCAAATATGGCACAATCAAATGATTTTTTTGGTTGGTTGGTTTGTTGTTTAAAGCCGCACTCAGCAATATTCCAGCTATATGACGTCGGTCTGTAAATAATCGACTCTGGACCAGACAATCCAGTGATTATTATCATGAGCATCGAACCACGCACTTAGGATCGATGACATGCATCAACAAAGTCGGCGAGTCTGACCACCCGATCCCGTTAGTCGCCTCTTACGACAAGCATAGTCGCCTTTTACGGCAAGCATGGGTTGCTAAAGACCTATTCTACCCCGGATCTTCACGGGTCCACAATCAAATGAGACATATTAGGTCAGATGGCAAATATTACGTTTCTAAGTATTGTACACGATTTAGCACAAAGTTATTGTGACATACCCGATAATGTATTGCAGAGTATTGATAAGAACAGATAAAGGACGTGTGAGTGAGGTGTGTGAACAGTTTAAATCCGGATTAGGCAGCGTCAACTGGTCATTATATATTGATCCTTTGTCAGATAATATCAGCCGGGACTCTGGACGAAATTCCGGGGTATCCAGATTTTACATGATGAGAATTAACGCAGTTGGATGGGTCCGATAATATTAGCACAGATACCGGTTTTGACAAATCCAATTGAACTAACACAATACAACGTACCAGTTAACAGTTAAGCGTTTACTGTACCTGTGGTCTTTGGTTATAGCTGTTATCCGAGAAATGTATTCATCCTGTTATCTGAAAAAAGAAACAACTTACTATTTCAACAAAAAAGCATTACTAGATATTACCTTATATTACCACATGAAGACTGAATCAGTTGGTGTGTAAGTAACAAAATACATTGCATGTTCCTTTGAACCGGCTGTTGGTCGACGCTTACGTAAGTGTCATAACCCAACATCGAAGGCACGCAACAGTGTCGATAGTTTCCATGAACACGACAAGAAGAACATGTATGACAATATTCAGAGATAGCAATTATAAAACATAAGGGGCACGGATGGCCAAGTCGTCTAAGACACCGCAATTCCCTGTTCAGAGTCTCATAGGTCTAGCCTGAAACCTTTTGATCCTGGGTTCGAATCGCATTTCGCCCCGATTTAGTTTAGTCAAAGACCGCAATCACTTCGGGCATTTCTCCCACATCAAGCTGATACGCCGTGATATAACTGGAATACTATTCAAAGCGGCGTTAAAGTCACTCACTCACACTTATAACACCTACAAAATAACGGACGTGCTAGATTTTGTTATTTCAAATAAAGCAAGGAAATCTGTATTGTGGGAAAGTATATGTACAGTCCATCTTATAGCAATAAGTATGTTTACGAGACACCTATTGCAATAGCATAACTTGAACTCTCGCCATGGTATTGCAATAATTAGAATGCCCCAAATAACCACCCAAAACAGTGGGGTGTGTCGCTCACCTGACACTTGACCGAAAGTGTCACATTGTATTTTGAATAAGAAAGGTAACTGGTCACATTTCAAAATACAACTGGGAAAATCATTAATCTATCAAGTGCCTCATATTGTAAGCAATCTATGGCAGATCATTTATCAACACACATACACTCTTCAAAAACCCACAGGTTGTATGTAGTTCATTGAACCTGACTTCACAAAAAATCCGGTATATAAATTGGATATATGTTATTGGAAAATGTTGGTGGCCTGATATTCGACAAACGGTGCGTCAAAACGCAGCAACTCTTGATTTGCAATGCCTCAAACGGCATTGTTTTCACACTTGTTCAAAAATGTCATGGAGGAAAACAGTAAAGCAAAATGCACGTGCAAGTTATGGTATTCGTAACTCGTGGTTGTGGCTATAATAAGGCAAGCCTAATTCAATAATTTGTCATTCAATTGTCAACATTTTTCAAGTTCGAAAATGCCGAGACTCAGCGCTGCCGATCAGAACATAGGACGTATCCAAAGAGGGGAATCGCAGTCTATTGTTGCACGCCACTTCAACGTCCACCACAGCGCCATTTGCCGCCTATGGGCCGATACACACAGTTCAATTCCACTGCAGACCGTCCGAGAACCGGTCGACCAAGAGTTACCACCCCTGCACAGGATAACTACAATCGACTGTTTCACCTACGTCATCGCAAAGACACAGCTACGGAGACTGCAGGACGCATCCCTGGTTTGAGGAGGATATCAGACCAGACTGTCAGGAACCATCTTCGCGAGGCTGGAATCCGACCCACAAGACCAGTCATAGTCCCTGTTTTGAAACAGATCCATCGACAGCGACGCTTGCGTTGGTGCCATACCTTACAGCCTTGGAATTTGAGAAACTGGAGTGTGGTTTAGCGATGAATCACGATTTCTTCTTCACCGGCCAGATGGAAGACAAAGTATTTATCGTCGTCGAAATAAGCGGTTTGCCCCACATTGTGTACGTGAATTCGACAATTTCGGTGGCGGTAGTGTCATGGTGTGGGGGGCCATCTCCTACACAACAAGATCTGACTTGGTTGTGGTTCAGTAGACTACCTACACAATGCCAATATCAACGTTTTGCCCTGGCCGTCGAGATCTCCAGATCTCAACCCAATCGAACACTTCTGGGATGAACTCGATCGACGTGTACTTCCACGTCAGAACACGATGCAGACACTCCCACAACTGGCCAACGCGTTACAAGCAGAATGGCGCAGAATTCCGCAGGATACAACTCGTACACTTATCCAGTTAGTGCCGAGGAGATGCAGAGCCATGATTGCTGTCCGGGGCGGTCACACGAGATACTTAGTTCAGCGCAATCTTGTGGCCTTATGTGACATGACAATGAACAGTTTTCAATGCCTTTGTACAACAACAACATGTGACTATCGAGCTCCAAAATTTCATATTTGTATCTATGATATTAAATTAAATATATCAACTTTATTAGGTACAATAAATTCACTAAAAATCTACCCCTGCGTTTCTTTTTTGAAGAGTGTATATGTCTGGGGGTTTTCAAATCAGAAGCCGCGGACTCTCAACCAAGATTCAATATAACGAAGAATAGTTGCTTGGTGGTATCACGCATGTACAATTTTAGTCACCATAAACATCTGAACCATAATATTGTATTCTTTTCGAATTCATTAACTCAATCAAATTAAAGCAACAAAACTCTCTCCATACTGATAAGAAATCTCTGCCCAAAATAGTCTATTGTTATATTTCGACTAAATCATGAGCATGTGAAACACTATCAACTAGTGATGATACCAGGTGTTCGCGAAAACGTGAGCGTATTCTGCCCCACCGTCGGCACCCGTCACAAACACATGTAAAGGCAAGTCATTTGTTCATCTTAACAGAAAGGAACGTTCCTGGAAACGCTTGAAAGGTTTAACGTTGGTGTTTCAAACATGAAGTGAGTGAGTGTGTTTTTACGCCGCATTTGTCAGTAGTTCAGTAATGTCACGGCGGGGAACACCTCAGTGAGCTTCACACAGTGTACGCATGTCGGGAATCGAACCCGGGTCTTCGGCGTGACGAGCAAATGCATTAACCACTAGGCTACCCGACCGCCCCTTCAAACATGAAGCTTTTAACTAACCTGAAGACATTATGTATATACTGACACAAATTCTAAAATTATTATTCACACAATCCAGAATGTTATAATAGTACAACCTGACATAATTTACGTTTTGATAAAGTTGGCGTGTGACAATATACCCCATGTGCCAAACACAACCTTTAAACAGGTTGTTTAATGATGCCCTCTGTGCCCGGTGGACCAAAGCTCTCATCTGTTTGGTGAAGTTCATGTCATATCTACCCAGAAATTAACAAATTCAACTAAATAAAAACTGATAAACTGATAAAGTAAAAACAGAGCAACCTTGTATTGTCTCTTTAAAAAATCTGTCGCTAAAAATATAAATCTCTGCACAAAAGTCTTTCGCTGTCGAATTAAACACCAAATCTAACCATGTCCACAAAGTCTCTCCTTCAAAGCAAAGCAGCACAGCGTTGTTTTTCCCCGGAAAGGGCAGAACAGGTTATCGATTTATACTTTTTCCTGTTTCAATATTTTCTCAATTTTCTCTCCAAGGATTAGTTTTAGAGATCACTAGATTTTCTGCAGGTGGGCACAAGCTCTCGTATTCCGTTTGAAGTTTGAAAACCAGCTCCTCCACCGCATATCGTTTTAAGCGTTGAAGGTAGATGTTCGAGTTTTGAATATTAAGGAAGAAGTGGTGTGACGTTGTTAGTGATGTTTAGGATCTATGCAACATATGTTCCAGACTGGCGGACCGGAGGTTGGCATATTGGGTTTCGATATTTCGTCATGTTGACGATCCACGCCGTCAAACCGACATAAGACATACTGATGACACTGATGTTAGACACCACTGATGTATTGTCAATCGCACTGTCGTATTGCCATTAAGACACCAGGGCCGTCATATTGACGTAGACGGGTCGCATTGTCTTATTGACGTACGACACCAGAGACATTATATTGACGTAAACCAGTCGCACTGTCGTATGACATTAGACATCAGCACCATCATATTCACGTAAACCAGTCGCACTGTCACATTGACGTTAGAAACCCCAGCGTGGTCATATTGACGTAGACGGGTCGCACTGTCGTATTGACGTTAGACACCAGAGACATTATATTGACGTAAACCAGTCGCACTGTCGTATGACATTAGACATCAGCACCATCATATTCACGTAAACCAGTCGCACTGTCACATTGACGTTAGAAACCCCAGCGTGGTTATATTGACGTAGGTGGGTCGCACTGTCGCATTGACGTTAGACACCAGGACCGTCATATTGACATAAATCAGTCGCACTGTTACATTGACGTTAGACAGAAACATCGTCATACTGACGTAAACAAGGCGCACTGTTGTATTGATGATAGACAACGGTGCCGTCATACTGACGTAAAACAGTCGCACCGTCGTACTGACGTTAGACACCAGGACCGTTATATTGACATAAATCAGTCGCACTGTTACATTGACGTTAGACACAAGCGCCGTCATATTGACGTAAACCAGTCGCATTGTCGAATTGACGTTAGACAACAGTGCCGTCATATTAACGTAAACCAGTCGCACTGTAACATTGACGTTAGACATCAGTGATACATTTTAGTCAACAGTCTTCATATTGATGTACGATACCTACGCTGTCAAAGTGACTTCAGACATCAGGGCCTTCGCCAAAACGTAACACACACGCGCCGTCATACTGACGTTAGACAACAACGTCGTCATACAAATGTTGACGCCCGCACCGTCATATTGACGTTAGACACCAGGTCTGTCATAAAGGCATAACGCAGGCGCTGTCATGCTACACCCCCGCGCAGTCTTGCTGATGTTAGACATCTGAGTAGTTAAGAAGACGAAAGACATTAAACGCGCCAGTCTGGCTTTATACAAAATATTCATTGAAAATGTCACATAACGCGCTACAAAAGTAAGTAAATTTATCGAAATATATTCAACCGTGGTTTCTGGAATCCTGACGTCAAAACATATGCTTATTCTGTATAACCCCGGCCTTATTTCATACCTCATGCCGAGAATCCATATCATAGAGCTGTAAAAAGACTTTTGTATGACGTAAATCGAGCGCAATCATATGAGATGCATCGTCAAAAATAGTAATGTGTATGTCCAGGCATAAAGCGGTTCTAGGACTAATCAGATTACTTATCCGCAGGATGACCACACGCTAGACGTATGGCGTTTTATGAACGAAGTGCCACGACGTGGTTCTGCAGCTGGTCTGACGTATAAGGTATTAGGTATTAGGTATTTGATGTGTCAGGATGTTCAAGCCGTGGGTTAGGATCACAGATTCGCCCAGATTACGACCCTTGGTCTGCCAGCAGTTAGTGAGTAAATGTTTGTTTACGGGCAAACAGCGATATTCCCTATACGTCACGGTGGATTGTAAGTGTCTGGCAAACCAGTGATTGATAACATGAGCAGCAATCCACGCCGTCGGGACATGATTGTACACAATAGACTATGACATACATTGTGACAACCCAATCCTTTAAAGTCTTCTCTTACGACAAGCACGGCATTCGTGGGACCTATACAGCCTCGCAATCCCTACAGAGATCCGGAGTTTCAGAGCAGATATCGACAACGTAAAGATCAGCGACGGACAGCGCGACATTACACCCTCGTGGGAATCTGGTTAGATAAAAAATATAATCTACATCAGTAACCTTCACAACAAGCAGTAATATATGACATGAATATAATCTGGTTGTAGACTACTCAAAATACGTTAAAGAACAACCGATTCTTTCATATAACATGAGAGTGTGTTTGTTTGTTTGTTTCACGCCGCACGTATCAATATTCCAGCTATATGACGGCGGTCTGTAAATAGTGAGTGAGTGAGTTGGGTTCAACGCCGCTTATAACAGTATTCCAGTTATATCGCGGCGTGTCAGCTTAATGTGGGAAGAAAGTCCGAAGTGATGCAGGTCTTAGACGTTTACCACTTCGGTGAAACCCACGAACACGGGTATGGTGCTGACAAACCTAGAAACATAATCGGGGCGAACCGGGATTCGAACCCACAATCATAGGTTTCTGGCGTGCCCAATGGACGCAACTCTGCACAGCGAATCGCGGCGCCTTAGACGACTGGGCCACCCGTGCCCCCCGGTCTGTAAATAACTCAGTCTGGACTAGACATTGCGGTGATTGATATCATCAGCATCGATCCACGCAATTGGGATACGATGACTTGCATCAATCACGTCAGCGAGCCTGACCACCCGATCCCGTTGGTCGCCGCTTAGGACAAGCATAGTCGCCTCTTACGACAGGCATGGGTTGCTGACGTCTAAACTCGAACCCGGATCATCACGGTCAGTAATGTTAAACAACCACGTCAAGCGATGACATATTATCTGTAGTAACATGAACGAACCGCGCTTTCTTTAACTTTTTTTTAGGAGTATACAATGTATATCACATTACACTGACACTAATCAAACCACATTACCCTTATAGTAATCAATAAGAGTAACTAAAATCATTTTTGTAATCAACACCAACGAAGTCATGCCCCATGATACTGCCATAATGCACTATCAGTAATGAATGAACAGGAAGTGAAGCAAAGCAGCTGGGTCGAAGGCTCGCGGGAGAGAGTTAGTCAAGATGGCCGCTCACTCCTGGGGATGAACCCATTCTGGGACTCCCTAATTAAGCATGAGGGGCTCCTGTAGTTAAATCACGCAATCGATAAAGATTCATCTCTGTTTAATGATGTAACTCCACTAGACGTAATTCACACTTGATGTATGCCAGCGACCGACTGAATTCTGTACGTTCATTTCCAGTTTTTACTAGGTAATAACCTGAGACGGCCAATAATGATATCGATTTGTGGCTGATATTTTTCAAGAATTTACGTTTACATTAGAGTTATGAGAAAAAGGCGCTTAATGTATACTAATTTTCAAAGATGTATGCATTTACTCTGTCGACTGCTCTGCGGGAATGGGAGTGGCAGTTTGTGAGACGTAAGAGTGCCAATATATATAGGTAATATACTGGGGTGCTTCCTCGTATGTATTTTTAATTTGGTTATTTGAGATTCCTATTTTTCAGCCTAAAGTATCTTTTTGCTTAATGAAATCAATTTGCTTATTCGATCGTGGTTTGAGCTTTTAGTTTGAGCTGTTTTACACATGGCATGATGCATTACTACTACGTAAATATGCGTGACTTGAGTCAACTGTGGTTACCACTTTTCTCGCAACCAGGGTTGACTAGATTCCGTCTCAGATAACCAGTGTTCCAACAAGGGGAACTTTGCGCCGTAACCAAAATAAAACGCATAAAATTCAACCTTTGTTATGATGATGACTGCCAGGAGGAGAAATACAACAGTCGTCACTATAACACATAGCTATGAGGGGTTAACAAGAAGATTTACGTGTTTCACTGCTGCCATTGCACCGTTCCTACTCAATGCATTCAAAATAAGAAAATGCAAAATAACGTAGAAAATCAAACGAGATTCACACTAATCAACGATTTTGCATTATTGATTCCAAAGTATTTATATCAACAATCGAAAGTTTGATTTCCCTGACGCACATCAGAATACATATATACTGTCAATACCGGGTTAATTTTATTCATTAAACTGCTCATATTCATGATTGAATCAAAAAATGAAAGAAACTAATTAGCTTTAACGATGTCGTCACTTGGAGACTGCTAACCAGAGTATCGCACCCTAGTAGGTATGGGCAACTTAGATCAACCGAAATATGAGGTACATCAGTTAACATGAACTGACATTGGTCAATCAAGGTTCACTTGGGTTGTCCAGGCTTTTGAAATCGAACGCAAGGATCGTCACCTGGGTTCACGGGTGGTCTGGTGATCCCTTCGCTGTGCTGTTCCAGGATTAGCCCCGACCACGCACGCACTTTGACTGATAACACGCATTTTGTCTGATAACGCGTTCACAGGTCAAACCAAAGTGCTGAATGTGTACAAGCACTGAAATCATTGAAATATATCGGCGTTGAACCCAGCGCAGAGACTATCTTTTTCTCCGGTTTTTCAAGTCACCGATTGTGAAAATGTTTAATGTTCTGTGAACATTCAACTTACAAAGCCAAACGGAACCATCGAGAAGTTTTAATGTAATACCAGTTCAAATGGGTAGCAAATGTAATATCTTAAACTTCATACAACCATGGATAATATGGGTTTAAAAGTACGAAACTAAGGGATTAATGACTAAAAGAACCAATATGTGTATTTCAAACATCTATATCTTTACTGCATATTTCGTCACATTTTGAAATTTGAAAAATACAAGCCGTAATCACATGTCAACCTACCATTAATGGTAACTCGCACGCACGCACGCACGCACGCACGCAGGCACGCACGCACGCCAAAAACAAATAGATATATACAAACATATAGAGAGAGAGCAAATATAACAAAACAGAGCAATTCTAAATAATTTATAAAAATTTTTTTATAAAAAAACGACAAAGAACATATATAATAATTAAAAGAAACACAGTTCCATTAAAAGGTTATTTTAACCTTCCGTTACACAGTACGTCATGTCAAGTTATCATCATTATGATTCCCGAGTTTACTCAAACCTTTCTTCAGCTTTTCCTGGATTTGCTTCCTTCTGTGTCGGAGGACAGCGAGTTCCGTCTCGATCTTGTAGATGGTCTTCAGCACCTGAAGTCGCACCTACAACATCACGGAGTCGGAAAGGAAGACATTAGCTTCATGATTATGAGGGGTAACGAGTGAGTTATAATTGTTTCAAATCGCAGTAAGCGATATCACTGCTATGGTATGGCAATAATCGAAACTTGAACACAAGCCATTGTTTGAATACACGAACAACAGATCTGATAATCAGACCGGTCACACATTATTGCAGTTGGCTCTTACAAATGGGGGGACGTTGGGGACCTGTTCTGACCCGAATCCCAAAAGGGCATGATGGCCTTTTAGTCTGGTAGCCCTGCCTACATATAACCTCTAGCTCTATCTTACCTCTATTAACCTGTAAATCATGATGGCTTATTTTGACGTTGTATTGATTGTGATAATAACCTGTCAACTTGTACGCTAAATAAATTTTCTTATACATTGAACTATGAGTCCTATGAGTTTGCTACGTTAAAACAACCCTTTGAGGAATTTCGTCCAAGAGACGTCCAAGTACTAAGGGTATTACTAACATAAATGTCAAGAACACTGATAACAGTTTCACAGCCAAACGGGTCCTTAGTTACAATCTGAGACAGTCCATCGTAAAAAGAAACCAAGCACGCACACCCTAGTTTTTTTCATTTCTGAGGATTGGCATGAGACTGATGCAAACATAAAACCATCATTGATCTCTTCCTCGTGCTCTAGAATAACCGTTGTCTGGAGACCTTTGGTTGCATGTCATCGATCGGGAGATAAAACGTATTACTGGTATTCAGAAAACACGCTAATTATGGAGTGTTACGAAACACTGTATATGTTTTCAAAAATAGTTCATGCTGCAATATATCTGTGCATTTGTTGCAACTTTCCAGTTCGTAGTAACCTGAAATAGGTCTTGCTCTATCTATATAAAAAACATATGTCTATGTCATAGACCTCAATACATTTCCCAAATTTCCCACGAATATCACGTACAAATTTCTTCCAACGTTCAGCATCATTCATACAGAACTGTTAAACCCAACTCACTGAAACAACCACAACGGATTACTTTTTGGACGTTTTTAACCGATCACCTGTTCTTTTCTCTTCTTCTTCCTGGCTCTGCAAGTGGTCCGGGAGGCCTCCTCTGGTGAAGCAGGGGTGAGGTTTTTTACATCCCTAATCTCCCCGTCAGTATCTCTATACACGTAGTCATCCTGATTTACTAAAACAATCTGATCTGTTGCCCCGTGTGACTTCTCCAATTTGTTTTTCTCAACAAAAGACAGAGAATGTCCTGATTTTGAACAATTTAAGTATGTCTTGAAATATTTATCAAGAATACTCTTGGTTCTGACAGTGTCCTTAACAACCTGTTTTGGTCTCTTAACTGTGACGTCTTTGGAAGTAAAAGCCGCTTGTTTTCTTTTGCTTAAAGCTGCTTGGGGTAAAGAGTTCCTGACAGTGTGTAATTTCTCTCTATGTCCAGGCTTGTTATTTTCTCTAATGGCCTGCACAGGTACGACCGGGCTTTCACAAAACTCTCCCATTGAGTCGTGACAACCATAGGTCTTTTGGCCTGTATTACCCTTGTAACTTATTGCCACAGCGGCTCCTGAGTGCGTATTGGTTTCTCCGGACAGAACCGTTTCGGCATGACTCCCAATCCCTCCTCCATCAGGAGATGAAGTCACCCGAAACCCATTTCCTTTACTCTGTTTCATGCTTTGTCGATACATAATGGGTTTGTGGATGCCTTGCTTCTTTGTCAGTTGGCCATTATCTGGATTTGTGCTAATACCTTCCCTATCACGGCCACGTCTTCCCGACGGCTTTTTTCTGATAGCCTGCAGGACGTCGACGGTGATACCGGGAGTGGACATCTGGGAACACGCGATGGTGAAGCTGGGGGTCGTAGCTTGAAGGAGGTCGGGACATTGAGACCATGTTGCTGGTGGCGAGACTGTGGCAGGAGATGTGTGTGCTCTGTATGGCGTCTTAAACTGAGAATTAGGGGTCTTCGGAAGCATATTTCTGAAATGTAAGGAGATATTATATATTTTAATTCAATTTTGAGAAAAAGACGCCTAAGGTGACTGAAACAGGAAGTGATGAAATGCTCGGTTGATAAATTAAGCCTTTCTACTAAGGAATTCAAAACCGTAAAATAATAACACATAAATATCAAAACTTGCAGCGCCATGCGACCTGATCACATTGACATCACATGTTTGGGTCAAACTACTCGTTCGCAATCAATTTTAGCTGTATACATTCGATACCTATTAGAATTATCGACAATGCGACATGGCGATCTATATACACTCACATTATAAGCAAATATATTATGAGCCAGGATGAAGTTCTAGCTTCAATCAAAATAATTCTATAAATAGGCGTTTTCCTCAAAGAATATAATATATAATGTTGATACTTAATAAATTTCAAATAAACAGAAAAAAAAAAGTTGCTATGATGTCAAAAGAATCTTCTATATGCGAAGCATATAAAATCGGATCGTCGATAATTAACCACTGCGTCGATAAATAAAAATATCGAAAGAGATACGTGATCTTCACCGAAATATACATAATTGAAATTCGATAATACAAGGTGTGACACCGAAGCTTTACTCTAGAAGTCAATACATTGACTCCCCTGACCGATGTGTATCGCTCAGTTCAAGGTAAAGAGGCTCTTAGACATTTACCACTTGGCTAAACCCACAATCAAGGATATGGTGGTGGCAAATCGAGAGGCGCAACATGCGCGAATCTGAGATTCGAACACATGATCATAGGATTCTGGCAGGCCTAAGAGACGTAGACAAGAAATGCGGCGGCGCAGGCGACAAGACCCAATGACAAAAAGAGTCAAGCGAAACACGAAGTATTTCATTCTTAAACGTCATCATTCTCTAACTAGAACCTAGGAACCGACATGAATTGTCTTTCTGTTCAAGCGAAACAAGAAGTGTTTCACCTTTAAACATCATCTTTCTCTTACTAGAACCAAGGAGCCGACATGTAATTTCTTTCTGTTCAAGCGAAACTAGAAGTGTTTCACCTTTAAACATCCCCTTGCTCTTACTAGAACCAAGGAGCCGACATGTAATTTCTTTCTGTTCAAGTGAAACTAGAAGTGTTTCACCTTTAAACATCCCCTTGCTCTTACTAGAACCAAGGAGCCGACATGTAATTTCTTTCTGTTCAAGTGAAACACGATGTATTTCACCTTTAAACATCATATTTCTCTTACTAGAACCAAGGAGCCGACATGTAATGTCTTTCTGTTCAAGCGAAACAAGAAGTGTTTCACCTTTAAACGTCATCTTTCTCTTACTAGAACCAAGGAGCCTTCATGTGATGTCTTCCTGTTCAAGCTGCTGCATAATTGGTTTGAAACATTGGTTAATAAATGCTCGTTACTTGAAACAGATTACATGATGTGATTTTAACAAACTTAGATGTTAACCTTCTCTTTTGCTTTTGTTTGAAATAGCTCAATCAGCCCCGCGTCCTTGTTTGCTTTCAGAGCCTCTTAATTCCGAGGTGTATACGTTCAAAGAAGGGAAAGGTTTACTTGTTCACAATGTATTTCTCAGTCACCGCCTGACGTCAATGCTGACCTACACTGTGCTAGGTCACGTTGACATGACCTTCAACTACTGCAGTTTATTCGTGTTCCAGACAGTATCAATTACATATCGTACATGCATGAACGTCTTTAAATATTACAATTATCATATTTCATTCAGTGGAAGTCCGCAAGTATTCTTTTGAAATTACATTGTTTTCACCAAAGTGCTTATGCTGAATTGTTTAAATCAGTCTTTGATTTTCCTTTTTACGTGTATAATTATTAGCACATGTAAGCTAATACTAACTTAGGCAGTACACGTACAGCTATCTGACATCAAGATGTGGTGTGAAAAGTATCGATATGACAGATTCCTTGTCAAATAGCCCAACAAAGGTTAATAACGGGGCATGCGTGTAAAATGTCCAGCTTTTCGGTGAAATCACCATGTCTTGTCAACTTTTACACACAAAATCTCGACTTTCACAGACGTCCGTCTCCATCAGCTGTTAAACTGACACGGCACGGTTGCCGGGAATTCATCCAGCTGCCCCTATATCCGGCCTCTGCTACTGTGCATGCATTGTCTCTGTGAGTGTTTGTGTCATGCCATCAACTTGCCACGAATATGTATGAGGTAAATTATGCGTTGTTCTGCAAACAGCTAGTGTCTAGAGAACATAGCGTATTGTTCCTGCATGTGTGTGAGGATACTTCGTAATTCAAATAAGGTCTGATTTTATAAATATATAATAGACTACATATATAACCTGTCACCAAACGATAAGAAATGACCGCGTTTCGTCAGTGTTGAAGAGGCAATAAACAAAATCAATATTCGTCAAACGCACTTACTCAAGTGAGGAGTATGTCCATCACACTTAATTAAGTGATCTGCTGTCGATTGTTCCATAAGACCATTGCATCCAGCTACACTTAAGTAATGTGAGCGTGTACAGCTTCATATAAGCACGGATTTCGAGATAACCGATTCCCGAGATGACGAGAGTTGTGACACGATCGAAATCTTTTATGAAATCCCCCAGACCTGACATACGAACAACATCAAAACATGAGATTTTACTTAAGTGAGTTAGTGAGTTGGGTTTAACGCCGCTCTGAACAGTATTCCAGTTATATCACGGCGTGTCAGCTCAATGTGGGAGAAAAGCCCGAAGTGATGCAGGTCTCAGACGTTTACTGCTTAGGTGAAACTCACCTGTATGGTGCTGACAAACCTAGAAACAGAATGGGGGCGAACCGGGATTCGAACTTACGATCATAGGTTAAAGCGTGCCCAGGGGACGCAATCCCGCACAGTGAATTGCGGCGCCTTAGACGACTGGGCCACCCGCGCCCACATTTATATTTGGAATAACACCCTGTTATAGCTGAATTACAAAAGTACACACGCAAAATATGTCGTTAATCTTGTTTACATATACACTTCCATGTTGACAAGCACGGCGGATCAGCATAAAAAAATAAAATAACACAAACCAAACAACCATTCACGCCGACTGAGGAGTATCACAATCGTAACACGCTGTTTGTCGTAAGCTGGTATTTGTTTGTGTTCTAAGTGTCTTCTGTGTCAAGCAATCCAGATTCCTGTGGCATTTGAAACTAGGCCATTTACGTGCATGGTGACTGGGGTTCACGAGATGCTGGTGTTATCGTGAAGGGCTGCACCACCCAGACTCTGAGCATCACCAGCTTGTCTGGTAAAGATATCAGGAACCACAACGATACTTGAAACATTATCGTACTCTTAATTACCCAGAGTGGTAGAATATGTGCTTTATAGGGACCGGCAGCTTTTATGACAAAAAAAATGTTACAAAAATGCCCAAGAATATTTTAGTACAAACACATATCGATTACACACCCGTCACAAACAAAGAACATCGTTCGGCTTCTTAGAGTAAACAATTGTATGTCTTGACATACCCGTCTCCACCTAAACTACCAGACACCACCCCAAACATATTAAATAGCGACCAATAGTGTGATGCAGTTCATCTCTAAGTGTAACCTACATTCATCCTATCTGCGCTGCGGTCATGGCCAGTGCTTGGTGTTCTTTCAGTCTGAAAACATGTTTACCGAAGATGGCGGTTTGTATGATACACAGGTTTGTTTTTGTTTAAGTCTTCAACTCGCGATATGGTGATATTCACATTTTGTCATGTACAAGGGACACCACCATGTTCGCCCAGTAGTTTCAGTAAACAACATTGCAAACATGTACACATGTTACACTGTGAAGACTGACATGCAGGAAAACAACATCTATGTTGGGTTGTGGGGATCTGGTTTGTGTTGTTGTGGGACTGAAGCACAACATTCACTGTTATGTTGATGAGTTCTATAATCGGTACATGTTTTGAAAGTGGGCGTATTTCAAGTACATTACTATACAGGGACATATGCACGGGGTCTGCTACTGAACACCACAGTATCAGTTGCAACGTTTGTTTGCTTGTTTTTAACGCCGTACTCAGCAATACTACAGCTATATGACGGCGGACCCGTGAAGATCCGGGGTAGAATAGGTCTTCAGCAACCCATGGGATCGGTTGGTCAGGCTCGCTGACTTGGTTGATGCATGTCATCGATCCCAATTGCGTGGCTCGATGCTCATGATATTAATCACTGGATTGTCTGGTCCAGACTCGATTATTTACAGACCGCCGTCATATAGCTGGAATATTGCTGAGTGCGGCGTTAAACAACAAACCAACCAGCCAACCAAATATGACGGCGGGCTGTACATAATCGAGTCTGGACCAGATAATCCAGTGATCTACATAATGAACATCGATCAACGCAATTGGGATACGATGACATGTATCAACAAAGTCAGCGAACCTGATCCCGTTAGTCGCCTCTTCCAACACGCATAGTCGCCTCTTTTTCGGCAAGCATGGGTTGCCGAAGACATATTCTAACACGGATCTAAAGAGTCAGACAAATATAGGAACATAACAGTGTTCGTGATGTTCACTGTCCACTGAAATAATATGACAGTTATAGCCGTTATTTACTGAACAGTAAAAAACCATGAGCAGTTGATTGAAATGGATAACTCGCAGACCTGTTAACCACCCGCTTTGGAACTGCTCCCTTTGGAGGCAAATAATTAAATTGCAATATACTCTTGAAACCATTGCAAATTTGATTAACTAAATACCATTGCTCGGGTCCCCAGTCGTTCCTAATGATGATGAAATGTGGCCTCTGGCGTAATAAGCGTCAGGTTTTCATGTATACTTTCGGGTATCGTAATGCCATCTTACTTTAGCGAACCGTAGTAATGGTAGTAGTAGTAGTGGCAGTAGTAGTAGCAGTAGTAGTAGCAGCAGTAGTAGTAGTAACAGTAGTAGCAGCAGTAGTAGTAGTAGTAGCAGCAGCAGCAGTAGTAGTGGTAGTAGTAGTAGTAGTAGGGGGTGTTG